GGAAACCATTTCAGGTGACTACCTCTTGAAGCTCATAGAGAGAATGCCAAGAGTGTGCAAAGCAGTAATCAGAGCAAAGGGTGGCTATTTTGAAGAAACTAGAATATAAAACATGTTTTCAGTTATTTCACCTTTTTTTGTTAAGTACATAACTCCACATGTGTTCATTCATAGTTTTGATGCCTTCAGTGAGAATCTACAATGTAAATAGTCATGAAAATAAAGAAAACGCATTGAATGAGAAGGTGTGTCCAAACTTTTGGCCTGTACTGTATGTGTTTGACATAATGGTAAAAATCAACTATAGAAGTGTGCTAAAGTGAAGATCAGTGATTTCAGTATGGTATGGGTATTGGAACCAAAAATAAATTCCCTGAAGGTGATTGTGTCATATACAACATGATTGAGCTAACTGGAATAGTTTCATGTCGTATCAGACAACGGGAGGCTTTTATCAGATGACGTCCTGATGTTAGCTTTGCTGCTGCTGTTAGCTGTCCCTGTCAGCTGCAGCCACTGATGCTTTCTAGACATCGTAATTTCCCAAAACTGAATAAATACCACATAGCAACACAAAACTGCTTTGCTAGCTCAATCATGTTGTAACTAAGACATCCGCTGGAAAAAAATATTTTTTTCATGGACCGTTTAGAGTTAATGAGTCATTACAGACGCCACTAACGGGGCTAACTCTGCTGGTTTTCCACCCGGAAGTATTTGTTAGCAACAAGGTGATTCCCTCCGAAGGGACACTAACAACTCAAAGTACACGTCAAATAAAATTTCAAACATGTTGTTATTTTAGGTCGTTATTATCACGCTAATTTATGTTTATCCCCCGATAAGTTGGTTTTAATTCGTTATTTGATTCTATAAACACAGTCTGACCATCTTGAGCTTTTATTTTGGTACTTCCGGTGATCGGCAGTGTGAATTTGCATATTAGCTAAATATTTAGTTTCACCCAGAACATTTAGATTTAACATTTAACATTTAGATTTAGATTTAGCATTTAGATTTGGATTTAGATTTAACATTTAGATTTAGATTTAGCATTTAGATTTAACATTTAGATTTAGATTTAGATTTAATATTTAGATTTAACATTTAGGCTAACATTTAGGTGCCACATTTAATATTTAGATTTAACTATTTAATATATTTCTAAGTTAACAAATATTGCTATAAATGTGGTAAAAGGTGGCATTAAAAAATTCACAACACTTTTTTAAACATTGTTTGAAGCTAAATGTGGCAAAATGTTGATGTTATTTTCAGCATGAGCCACTTTACAAACGGCATCCCATACGAAAGAAGTCAGAAAAGTTTGACACAGTTTTCCAGTCTTCTAATGGTTTATAGTTAACATAGAATACATTCAGGAAGTGACATGTTTATTTATAATGCAAATGGTACTGAAATTCTACACTACATTGATATCCCCAATGACAGATACTGTTTACTGTGACGACGCTACCACCTCATGGTCTTCCACAGCACCCTTGCGATATGGGCGTACATGAGCAGGTTGCAGTACTCTTTCCATCATGTTATATCCTTAAACTTTTCACAGGGTGACATGTTATAAACATTTTGCAGTGCAGGCAAACAAAATCTGTATGGATGAGGCAGAGTCAATCAACAGGCTAAGTAAAGGACACAATGAAACAAAAGGCTGGAACACCAAACACACAAGGAGATAAGACGAACTGCCACTGAGAGAAAACAAGACACACTCAATACTCTGGTGAGGGGAAGGATAACGAGACACAGGTGAGGCTAATCAGGGCGGAACAGACAATCAGACACAGGTGAAGTCATCAAAAGGGAGGGAAAACACACAGGGACAGGAAGTGAAGTGATCTGAAATGAGAGGAGATGTGAGTATCAAAGTAAAACAGGAAACAACACGAACAAATGAATGACAAAAACAAATGGGGTGACAGCATTTGATATGACCTCCTCTGCTCCCCACCACTGGGCGGAGGCCGATCATGGATATATGGGGACCTGCTGCATAGTGTTAAGTGTTACAGGTTATGATGCACAATTCCAGTTTGGAAAATCTGGTCTTCATCTGCAAAGTTTTACTGAAATTTACACCTGTCAACCAGGGAGACACAAAATGATGACAAAGAGACACAAAAAGATGTAAGGGAACTACCGGGAGAAACAAATTTACTACAACAAGGAGCAAAACAACCTCAAAGAGACACAAAATGACCTTGAAGCAACACAAAACAATCACAAGAGACCCAAAACAAAGGCAAGGAGATAGATAAATGACTACAAAGAGACACAAAATGATCACACACAAATAGATAGATACACAGGAGAGTCCGTGGGACCTTTTGCACATCTGGGGCGCATTGTGTCATAATCCGTCCATGCCTTGACATAGACTCCACTGCTGCTAATGATATCACACCATGGTCACATTTGCTTTGTAACACCGACTGATTTGAAGACCCTACATTGAAATTGCTAGAATTATCATTTTTACCACAATCCACGCAGGAAATACCATCTCACTCTTGCGTGCAGTGTCTCAACTTTTACTGAAAGGAACAGCTGCATCTACCAGCGTCTCGCCAGTATCCTACCTATACCATGCATGAAAGTGTGAGGTTTTGCCTCCCTAAATGCAGCACTAAGCGTTACAGATCATCCTTTATCCTGTCTGCTGTCGCTTATCTTAACCAGCAGTGATCACCAGTTGCCCATGAGTTACCTCTGACAGTGTGTGATACTGGATTCTGTGTGTTATGTACTGTACTGTGTGTATCCCAATTTGCCTACCAGGGACATTTAAGTTTTACCTTATCCTACCTGAACTGACCTGACCTGACCTGACCTGACCTGACCTTACCTTAACTTATCCTACCTGACCTTACCTTACCTTATCCTACCTGACCTGACCTAACTTATGTCAGCAGCACTCTTGAACTCTTGGCACTGGAGGGGGAGGCAATAAATAAATTGGTGCTTGAGACAGGGCAGGGCAGGACAGGACTTCAGGGGAATCAGAAGGGGGCTGGTAGTTTATAAGACAGTCAGGATTCAGACAATAATGCCATGATCCTACACACTCCAACACAGTAGGTGGCGGTATGCACCTTTAAAGTTTACTTGCGAAGAAAAGAAGAAGAAACGCGCCTCGGGCTATGAGCCATTTCTCAATACTCAAGTTCGGCAGTTCGGACTTGTGGACTTGAAAAGTTCGGACTTGGCAAGTCCACGCGAGAGTCCGGACTTCCCAAGAACGGGAGGACGGGAGTACAGTCATTTCTGCTTTTGGAACAGCAGCGAACTTGATGATGTCACCACCTCCGCTCGCCGGTTTGTTTCCCCCCTCGGCTCTAACCGGATGTGAAGTTTGTGGGCGTTCCCGTCATTACCCAGCCCTGCTTCTTTTCATAAACATTGTAAGAAATTAATGTGTTTTTAACGTTTCAACATATAACTGACACACAAAAACATATAAATAGCCAAAATATTTTCATAAAATGTCTTTTAAAACCTTCTCCCCGCAGCTGGCTTCTGAATGATTATAATCAAAAGTCAAGTGCGGGGGGAAAAGTTTGTGGAGAGTTGGTGGTTATTGAGATCGTGAGCACTGGCGAGATGGAAATCAAATCAATAATCGATCGGAGAAGGCGTCTTGGCGCAGTTATTGCAGCAGGACTGCTATGCAGGCTGAGGACGTAGATCCCAGAAAGACAGCGGAGAATGAGGATGAGGATGAGACATGCGATGCTTGCATGTCTGTTTGATATGTTTGTCCAGTTGTGGACAAAGTACCCAGGAATATCACAACAAAGAACAAAAACTCAGTCACAAGTAAAAGTGTTGCATACCAAATCTGACTTGAGTAAAAGTATCTGGGTATTGTCAGCAAAATATAGGCCTACTTAAAATTAAAAGTTCAAAGTACTCATGATGCAGCGTGACCCAATTTCAAGTGTTGTGATCATCATATACATGAATATGTATTGAGTATTAATTGATCAGCATCGGCTACATGTGAGCAGCATTTAAATGTTGTCATGGTAGAACTAATTTTAACACCTTTTACTGGTGTACTAGTCTGATCTATAACAACACACAGGAACTTGTGAATATGAAACTTACAACGTATAAAACAAACTATCTGAAAAGTAACTATAGCTATCAAATAAATGTAGTTTGAGTAGAATGTACAGTATTTCCCTCTAAGTAAATGGGAAATACCCAAAGTACATCAAATGTGTACTTAAGTACAGTAGCTACTTGAGTAAATATAGCTACTTAGTTACTGTCCATCACTGCATTTGTCTCATCATTATGCTTTCTGTCTACATTTTTATGGAGACTTGACAGTTTACTTGGTACACCTAGAAAAAACAACAGCAGTTTAATATTGTATTAAGTCTGACATTTTATTGAAGTGTTGAAGAGTTGTAGATTGTGGTGCTGTTGAACTGTACTGGATTATACTGACAGCAGTTTCTCATTTAGTCTGTCCTCACCAATATAAATGGGATCAAACAGGTCAGATGTGAAGAGGTTTTAGGGTTTAGAGGGTTTATTCAGACACACTTCAGACATCAGGTATACAATTCGTATCAGATAATCAATATTTAAAATGCTGTTGAATAAATACTACAATAAAGACAATTAATCTTTAAATAAAATAAATAAATTACAATAAATTCTTAAAATTATTATTGAATGGTAAAAACACATAGGCCTAAATAAGCAAAAGAATGCAAAGAACAATAACATGTTACAACATTTAATAATATAAGAATATATCTTATACTGAGACTGAATATTGCCCATTAGATATTCCCCAAACGAATTAAGTTTCATATTTAACCACTACAGAGATATCAGCCACGAATTTCTACCCGAGAGAGGCTGCTCTCTGGGGCAGCCTGAGCGCTCATACACACGTTTATTATCTATGAGCGTCATCTAGCAGTGCCAGCGCTCATAAACACATAAGGGCTGACGCCGCTGTCATCTAGCGGACCTCAGTCACATTCAGCTGGGCTCTATATTAAAACATCGACCACGGGTCTGGAGCTACGCATGAAAACACTACGTTCTGTGACAAAACAGTAACATATCGGTAAGCGCCTTTCCCTCACTTTACTTGGCTGTCTGAAGACCACACAAGTCTGCTCCGATGCGTCCCCGGTGAAATGGGTGTGGCGAGAACACATCCGGAAATTTGGACTGAACTTGGCTACGGCACTAGGCTAGATGTGAACTATGAATTCTAACAGTACTTGGGCTGTGACTGAAGACGTGTCACAAGTCCACAAGAACACAAGTCCGCACAAGAACGCATACTGAGAAACGGCTTCGGTCTCGGGCTGTGGTCTGGGGTTGCCTTGGGGATAAATCCGCGCCCACTTGCAATCTGGATCAGAGGAGTCTCACATGCGTTATCATTGCTGCTACGCTCCACCTCTCTTTTACAGGTTAGTAATTGGTGCATATTACCAATATCAACTTCATAAAGTATAACTTCACTCGGTGAAGTGTTATAAAGACATTCTGTGATTTTTTAAAGCATTTCTGCAAACTCAAAAACTTTAAATAGTGCCACTGTGAGGGCGGCAGGAACTGCTGGGTGGGCGGTATGTTGTGCGATTGCCTCACCCCAGGGTTTTTGTTGTTGTTTTTTTTTAAACCCGGGGTCTATGGAGCTACATTAGGGTCAAATGTTTTGTACTTGAAAAAATAAAATTTGAAACTGAAAATTCATGTGTTGATCTTGAATTTTGAAAAATACAACAATGTATTCAAAATAAAAATAAGTGTATGAAACGTTTTTTTCAAGTTAAATATAATTTTGATTCACTTTGCTAACTCTTTTGAATGAATAATTTATTAATGTAAATGTAATGTAAATATTAATGTATTTTAACATTTGAGGTCTTATTTTTTTTGAGTTGCATGTTTTATCTTTTCAGATTCAGATCTTATTTTTTACAGTATCAAATCTTATTTTTTCACTTTCAAATGTTTTTTTAACAATAAAAAATATTTTTTTTTTTCAATTTCAAATCTGTTTTTTGAGTTTCAGACTTTTGACCCTGATGTGGCGCTGGGGGCGTGGCATCAACTAAGAGGGGTGTGGAATCATGAATGACAGAGCCTTCAGGGAACATAGGAACTAAAAAAATTCTGACTCACACTTATATACACCATATTCATGTGACTGGCAGTGTAAAAATTGATGCCAGTGACAAACTTCCATTTAGAAATCTGTTTTAGACAGTACTGAGCACCAATTGCTGTATAAGAGTGATAAATTATGCCAGATTTTGCAGATCAACAGCCATATTTTAAGTGCTAATATGTCCGATTTCCACATAGCACTGTGAACGCAGCGTAGTGTCCGCTTGCGATGATGGTGTCCAGTCGGTCGGGTCAATCTGCTGGAGCCCATACATCCAGCACACAGGTGAGAAATGTTAACTAAGCTTTGGGAAATCATAACAAGTATTAAGGGGTCGTTTTTGTGATGTCATGTGATCACAGGGGTCAAAAGTGTCAGCTCTTGAAGCAACAACGCGTCATGTTACAGACGTGTGACACGTATACTATATAGGCTATATAGACCGTTTCAAACTGGACAACATAAACATTCTAAATGGGTCTCTTTATGTTTCCTGTTTGAATGTATGTTAATGCAGAAGCTGACAGGAAGTAAACAGGGACCAAAGTTGTTGCCCTAGCAACAGAATAGCAATGAAATAAATATATA